TGGTTCATTCCACTGTGGCAACCCTGAATTAATAAAGGGACTAAAGGCCCGTGCACACCGAGACATTTTTGCTCGCGTTTTCCGTCGACATGTAACGGCTCATAACTAAATAAAGGGCGTCAATGTGATTGTGCACACCAACGCGCAAAACGCCAGTTGCAAAAGCGTCATTTAGAAAAAACGCCTCATGCTCGTTTTTTTGTTTTGACGCGCGGCGTCAAAACCTTCTCCACTAATTAGATCGGCACTTTTGTTCGCGTGCACGCAGCTGCTGAAGTTACAGTAAGCAGCACTTGGATGCGCTCAAGCGCAAAACTGTCAATGCGAGCGCACATTGAAGAAGATGCCCGGAGGATATGAACGTTTAGCTGCTTATTGCTCTGTGAACAATAATCATTTCTTCATCGCTAGAGCTGGAGCTGCTGCTTGAACCAACCATGCTTGTTCGAGTCACCAGTAGCTTTATAAAAAAACGTGTGAACTTCCTCTCCTCCTCTTCTTCTGTGTTATAAGCGGGTGTCAGAAGCTTAAAGTTGTGCAGCGCCATCTAACGTCAAAAGAGTGATTTAGCATACTCTTCTGCTTGCCGCCAGTGAAAAGCACTTGGGTTTGAACACTGAAAAATGTTTCGTGATACGCTGCCGATTAACGCAAACTAAAAACGTCCCAGTGTGTAGGAGCCTTAAGCCGAAAATAAAATGAATGAACTGTATCTGTAACTAGTTACTTTTTTAGGGAGTATCTCAATATTGTAATGCATTACTTTCAAAAGTATTTTTCCTCAACACTGTTCATAAACATATAAAAAGATGGTTGAGATGAAATGAGGTAAATAAGGGTGGCTTTCTGCTGAGCTTTTAGTTCATAGAGCCGTTTGTGCTGTGCAGTGTGACTGAGGTGTGCAGTTTATTAACTTCATAAAAGGGCTGCTATTAGGGTGAGAGGAAGGCGATCAGTAGTTCCTCCTTTCAGTGCAGCAGCAGGGGACTTTGTGGCTTTGATCTTGATCACGGCTAAATGTCTTCTGTGAGACAGAGCTGCTGGGAACAGGACTGCATCAATTATTAACTTTCTTTCTTTCCTTCATGCGAGCAAATGACAGCAGGTTTGTTTTCTCTCTCAGTTCTTTCTCTCCTATGATCCTATAAAAACTCCCAAAATACTTCTTTCCTGGCGTTTTCTAGTTGCTAGGAATTGGAAAAGACTTGTTTGATTTCATCACAAGGGATTTAATCAATAGTGTCTTGCTGCAGACACAATGCACTTGGTGGAGCTATGATGTCCTAGGGCAGGGTTAGGTGTGTGTATTAAAAGCATTCTATGCAGAACAGAATGCATCATGCCTGCATTCAGACCCTTCTCTATTTATTCATTCATTCGTTAATTTTCTTTCGGCTAAGTCCCTTATTTATCAGAGGTAGCCATGGCGGAATGAACTGCAAACTATTTCAGCGTATGTTTTACACAGCGGATGCACTTCCAATCGCTACCCCACTATCATATTCACACATAAACTAATACACTATTTGTTGTAAAATAAAAAATAAAAAAAAAAGTAAAGAGAAGAACCCAGTCCAGGAGACGTTAGATGTGTTAGTTACTCTGGGGTCATATAGCGTCTTCAAGAAGTCCACGAGTTTGCAAAAACCTACTGGAGTCTCATACAGGTTTGCATACTGCGAGTTTTATCACAAGTCTGATTTGAGACGAATATGTCCTGTCTATAATGTGTTTTAAGAGGAGCGGAGATGGCTAAACAAAGCATGCAAATGAAGTAGGTATGTAGTTGAATAAACTTACCAAGTCACTGATCACACAAGTTTATCCACAAAGGGGTTTCTTTGGTCTGAAAGTATCACCCAAAGACAAAGGCAGATTCTTTAAAAGCCTGCCTGTAACATTTGCATCCCTTTGGCTCAGACAGTACACTGCAAAAAACGCTTTTCTTACTTAGATTTTTTTTGTTGTTTCTAGTCTAAATATCAAAAAATTTTGTATATCAAGAATCATTTTTCTAGACAATCAAAATATATTGTCTTATTTTGAGAAATAATATTAAGTGAGTTTTTCCTTAAAACAAGCAAAATAATCTGCCAATGGGGTAAGCAAATTTAATCTTTTTTTTTTTTTTTTGACATAAGATTATTTTGCTTACCCCATTGACAGATTATTTTGCTTGTTTTAAGGAAAAACTCACTCAATATTAACATAGTATTTCTAAAAACAAGACAATATGTTTTGCTTGTCTTGAAATTTTTTCTTGATTTAGAAGTTTTTAGATATTTGGACTAGAAACAAGACAATAAAAATCTAAGTAAGAAAAGTATTTTTTGCAGTGTAGTCAGAAAAACAAAGGTTTAATGTCCCTCATGGCTGGGCTCTTAATGAAATTATATATATTTAAAAACCAAAGAATATAACTTGTCAGTTACATGTTGATTATTGTTCATTCAAAATTAGATCATATAAAATTATGTCTTTGAACTGTGGAGTAAACCAGAGCACCTGGAGGAAACCCACGCGATCACTAGGAGACCATGCAAACTCCCTGTAGAAATGCCAACTGAACGAGCCAGGACTTAAACCAGTGACCTTCATGCTGTGAGGTGACAGTGCAAACCACTGAGCCCCCTTTTCTATTTAATTAAGTTTTAAATACTGTGTACTGTAACTGCACCCACATGGAGTGTATATAACATGGAATTCTATATTTCCTATAAGCCTAAATCAAAAAGTAAATATGTCCTAATACATTTATACTCAAAATGCAGCTTATAAACCAAGTTTATTTGCAAAAACAGATTTCATAGATCATGTTTTGTAACTCTTCAATGCACAATAAAAACATGTTTTATGAACATTAATAGAAACTGCTGTCTGATTTGTCAAATGAGCTCTTCAGCTAGGTAAGCTGTACTTGAAAATTACTGTTGTGACAAATAAAATTTTAATCATTAATAAAAAAAATTTAAATTCATTCTTGTGTACTTTTAGTAAGATAAACGTGCACTCTGCACATCAACTCTTCTTATTGTTAGTTTTAGTTTTTAGTTTTACAGTTTTACAGTTGAAGTCAGAATTATTAGCCCCGCTTTGAAATATTTCCCAAATTTTGTTTAACAGAGCAAGGAAATTTTGACAGTATGTCTGATAATATTTTAGTCTTATTTATTTTATTTTGGCTAGAATTAAAGCAGTTATTAATTTTTTTAAAAACAATTTTAAGGCATTTTTTTAGTCTACAAAACAAACCATCGTTATACAACTTGCCCAATTACCCTAGCCTGCCTAGTTAACTTAATTAACCTAGTTAAGCCTTAAAATGTCACTTTAAGCTGTATAGAAGTGTCCTGAAAAATATCTAGTAAACTATTAGTTACTGTCATCATGGCAAAGATAAAATAAATCAGTTATTTAAAATGAGTGATAAAAACTATCATGTTTAGAAATGTGGTGTAAAAAATCTTCTCTACTTTAAACATAAATTTGGGGAAAAAATAAACAGAGGCTAATAATTCAGGGGTTTTAATAATTCTGACTTCGACTGTATTTAGTCTATTCATAGCAACAACAACAACAAAAAAAAACATAGATTATATGGTATTATTAATGACCACCAGATGGAGCTATTTCATTTCAAAGTACACGCTTGAGTTCTGAACATTTTTGAATCAGTTCTTTTCATCATGGATACTAATAATTATGTAAAAATGCAAGATGTATAAAAAAACCTATAAATTAATTATATTTATGAGCAACTACATAGAGAAGTAACAAAACATTACAGACATTATTTTACAGATTCTCAAAAATTGCTATAGTTAAGAATTTAGTTGTCCATACTTTCAAAATAATTTTGTATATACTATTTTGTTATTATAAAAATGTATAGTAATCCCCCTGATATAATATAATATAATATAATATAATATAATATAATATAATATAATATAATATAATATAATATAATTTCCCAGAGATGGGTTGGAGCTGGAAGGGCATCCGCTGTGTAAAAAACTTGCTGGATAAGTTGGCGGTTCATTCCGCTGTGGCGACCCTGGATTAATAAAGGGACTAAGCCGACAAGAAAATTAATGAATAATATAATATGATATAATATAATATAATATAATATAATATAATATAATATAATATAATATAATATAGTAATCATTCATTTTCTTTTCGGCTTCGTCCCTTTATTAATCCAGGGTCGCCATAGCGAAATGAACAGCCAACTTATCCAGCATATTTTTTACACAGCGGATGCCCTTCCAGCTCCAACCCCTCACTGGCAAACACCCATACACACTCATCCACACATACACTACAGACAATTTAGCTTACCCAATTCATCTGAACCACATGTCTTTGGACTGGTGGGGGAAACCGGAGCACCCGGAGGAAATTCACGCGAACGCAGGGAGAACATGCAAACTCCACACAGAAATGCCAACTGACCCAGCCAAGGCTTGAACAAGCGACCTTTTTGCTGTGATGTGACAACACTACTCACTGAGCCACCACGTCACCCAATATAATCTGCAATTCTAATTCTTTTCGACTCTTTATTAATCTGGGGTCGCCACAGCGGAATGAACCGCCAACTTATCCAGCATATGTTTTACACAGCCGATCCCCTTCCTGCCGCAAAACATCACTGGGAAACATCCATACACAGAAATGCCAACTGACCACCCGAGGCTCGAACCAGTGTCCTTCTTGCTGTGAGGCGAACAGGCTACCCACTGCGCCACCTATAATAATATAATATAATATAATATAATATAATATAATATAATATAATATAATATAATATAATATAATATAATATAATATAATATAATATAATATAATATAATATAATAAATATAATATAATCAGCAGGGGGCGCTTCTATCCTGCAAATTCGTCCAACTCACCAAAACAAACACACGCCCTTGCAGCAGGCATTTTAATCCAGCACAGAGTGAGTGGACGTAGACGTGTGTCATCAGCTACAGCGGATCATTGTTTGATTGGTGTAGTCTGGGGAGTCCGAATAGGTTATTTTCGCTCCGCTTCCCTGATGTGCTCCTGTCACTGGATTATAAACACAGACATGACAACATCTACAGTCCAGATCGATTGTGGACGGGCATCCGAATATGTAACACATTGGATACCCCTCTGGTCGTAATTTTGGCTGGATAATGAAGATATGTAATGGTAAGATCGCGCTCACGCCCATCATCATCTTCATCATCATCTGTGTCGTTGCTAGAAGCAGCATCCCTGTCTTGAGACAGACGAGTATCATAGCAACCGCAAATCTTTGGTGTCGGTGATGTCCTCTGTATTTCATCAGCTGTTGATGCTTTATAATCGGTGCTTTATAACCCTGCTTCTTTATATGCTAAAGGGCAGTGACACACAGCTGTTTGAGGAGATACAAAGAGTAGAGTGATGCTATCAAGAGGTAACGTTAGTAGCATGGGGCTTGATAATTATCGTGTTCATTTACCAGGATAAATACATGACACAGAGATACTTCTAAGAACAGTAGGGTTTACCTTACTACCTTAAAATTTCATTCAGAAACAATTAGCATGCCACAAGTAAACAACATTTAATCATGATAGCTCTACCGTAATTTTAACGATTTCATTTACGTTTATTGTTTTTAACAATGCCATTGTAATAGTAACTCTTAATAAGGATGTCATTCGGTGGCCTTGGTAACTAGAGTTTTCAAAATACCCTAGAAACCACAGTTTCACAGTAGCTCGACAACCAGTCATCAAAATCCCACTGGAATGCATTGAAAGAATGGCAAGATTGTCTTGTTTTCTTTCGTAATATCCAAAACAATGAGCAAAGTAGCAAACAAAATTGGTTCTATATTTGCACATTTGGACTTTGGCGTTCAGTAAAAAAGTAAAACTGAATTTTAAAAGGCTAATACAGATAGAGTATATTGACAAAATTATGAGCACAACATAACTACTTGTAACATATCATTTTATTTAGGGCTGTGTATTGGCAAGGGCCTCACGATATGATACATATCACGATACATGGGTCACGATACAATATATCACGATATATTGCGCAACAATAATTATTGTGATATATTGTAAAAGTTTGTATTAGTGTGCGTGTCGTTATATTGACAACTTGATAAAGTAGTAGACGAAAATTCCAATTCCAATTAATTTCCTATTCATATCAATTCATTAGAACACCATTGAACAGAGTGATTGAACAGAGAACTCTCTGAAATGTATTAAATGCATATTGTTATTAAACACTTAAGTAATATGTATATGGCACTAAAGTCACAAATACATTAAATAAACTATTTATAAATCTAAAGCGAGTAAAAAAAAATTAAATGCATCAAATAAACATAAAACTGGAACACAGTGCTCTAATATTCAGTAAACTATTAGAAACTGACAGTGCGACAGACAGCATTGTGAACATTTTGCTGTGAAAACTGGTCGCACACGGGTAAATTGATTAAAAATTAAGCGAAACATTTTACATGCAACATGCCGGCCAGCTGTGCTGTTACGGTCATGTTTGACGCGTTGTCTGTTACAACGACAGGTCCTTTCATTTTATGTCCCATTCCTCCTATGCAGTTTTCGGTAACTCTGCAATGTTAGTTGAGGTAGACTGAAACTTGTTAATGATGTTATCCGGTGTAGTTTGCCTTGAATCAAGAGGTTTCGGTTAAAGTCGCAGTGCCGCTAATTCATCTGTGTGGTGTTTTGTTAAGTGATAACGCAAGTTCGTAGTGTTTTCTGAATATTTTAAGATAGATTTGAAAAGCTTGCAAATGGCATTTTTTGTCTTATTCAGTACTCTGGTATAGTATCAAAACCAAAGTGCAGCCACACGTCAGCTCTAAAAGCTGGAGGCGCCTTTATAATTTCCACCATGCTCACTCTTGCTTGCTTCTGAGACCGTACTACTTAGTGTTTTGTTGATAGCGAGTTAGCAACATCTACTGGAGCAGAGGAGGTGGTTGTTTGGCACAACTTGAATTGATACTTCAGGTTGGACTATAGTGAAAGAAATTAGCGTAAGATACAGTATATTGATATTTTTGCACAGCCCTAATTTTATTACCATGCTACTTTAGGATATTCAGTCTGAAATTGCATGTAAGTTCTCACATCTAGCACTTTACGATTCACTGTAAACAGTGTTGTACTTTGATAGCAATGGCTGCTAATATGATTTTTAGGGATGCACCGATACCATTTGTTTTGAAACCGTTGTTCCCGCTGTACCTGTTTAATTCAAATCTAAAAAAATAATGACCGCTTTAAATAACAAAACTCTTGATCTCTGCTCTGTCGACTTTTAATTAAGCAAAGCTTTTATCTAAACAAAAAGTGACTTTTATTGACATTTTAGTAGTTTGAAATATGTATAAGAAGTAATATATAGAGAAATAAGTAGCGCTGCTCGATTTTGGGAAAAATCCTATCACGATTATTTTGGTCATACTTGTAATCACTATTATTCAAAGCGATTATCAGTTGAAGTCAAAATTGATACCACTCCTGAGAATTTTTTTTTTATAAATATTTCCCAAATTATGTTTAACAGATCAAGGAATTTTAACAGTATTTCCTCTAATATTTTTTTCTTCTGCAGAAAGGTTTATTTGTTTTATTTTAGCTAGAATAAAATAATGTTTAAATGTTTTGAAACCCAAAGATAAAATAAATCAGTAATTAGAAATGAGTTATAATTCTATTATGTTCAGAAATAAGTTAAACAAAAAAACTTCTTTCCATTAAACAGAAATTGGGGAGGAAAATGGTTGCTAATATTCAGGAGGCTAATAATTCTGACTTCAACTGAAATATACCGTCAAGATCTGCAGTGTAAATGCAGCAAAAGTGTCCATTTATTTCAGAAATTAGATGCGTGTGTTGATATGCATGGTTGTGTCAGAATATTTTTCCATCCATATTAACAAAAAAATCATAAATCTAAAACTATAAAAAGTACCTGAACCTGTCTGACACTGGTGCTCTATGCAGAGGTGGGCTTTAAGAGGGCTTATCAAATTTTGCATATAGCTGACTGGACCCCTCTCTTTCAACTTGCAGTACATTTCTGTGAACATTTGACTGACGGCAGCCACAAAGTTGCATAAAGACACAGATGTTGTTTCTGAAATACACCTTTATTTGCTGTGTCAAACACGCACATGTGCAGAGCTCATAAAAATTGCATGAGTTGCATGTTGTCTGTATGTTTATATGTGTTGAGTGACAATAATAAAACAGAGCTCTCAGCAGCGTGCATGTTAACCTGCGTGTGTAACACGCCAGAACAAAAAGGCCAAGCAGCACTGAGAGCACATCTGAACATACTGAAGAATGCCTGAAACACTGAGCACTCAGTAAAGCGTCTACCAGCTGGTGTGCATACTGCTTCCTGATTGGTCCTTTATTGCTCTGTACACATTTAGTATTAAAAAGTTGAATTATTGTTTGATAATAAAAGTACAAAACTAATGTAGGCAGATCATGAGTTCTTCGAAGATGTCAAAATCAATATCTCAAAATCATTCTGAACGCAGATAGAACCTTATAATTCCAAGGTGTTGATATGTTTGAGAATTAACAATAATAAAAGCCTACTCATATTAATCTTTATTTTACATCTAAAGAATCGTGAGAAAGAATCATGATCTCAATTTTAAATAAAAAAAAATCGTGATTCACATTTTAGCCAGAATCATGCAGCCCTATGTGATACCATAAAACCGTGGTATTTTTATCCACGGTTATCATAACTACAGAAACATATACCGGCCCATGCCTACCTGGAGTGTTTGTAAAAAAGTGTCTGGTGCATATGGAGAGGGAAACAGAAAGCTTAAGTTAACAAAAAATGACTATACTACACTCTAAAAAATAACTCAAGAGGTCTGTTGCCACTACATAGTTTAATACATTATTGTAACTTAAAAATTCTAAAATGCTGATTAGATTAAAACTTTTAAATTGCCAGAATAATTTTATTAAGTTTTCAAAACAGGAAAATATTGAAAATTACAACAATTTAAAAATTTGGCTAATTTAAAAGTAAACAAAAATGTCACTTACTGTTAAACAATATTTAACTTGTAGCAACCCAAAGAAATTGGGTTGATAACTCAATTTTTCCACACTAATGGAGTTGTTTTGTATTTTTCCACACACTGATGTTTTTTGCTGTTTTTTATACTGATAATATGGAACACTACATGTTTTTGTTTTGTAAAACAATAAAAACCTGTCTTATAAAAAAACATTACTGAAAAACAAAAATGCTGTTGTTAAATGTATTTCATACAAGCATGAACAGTAAATTTGCTAAAAAAACAAACAAAAATTAAACAATTACAGCTACTTAATTTATTTGAGGTTCTAAACTTAAAAACATGCAATTACGCACAAAACACTGGATTTGTTTTCAATTTTAATTTAAAAAACTATTTGAAACAACTTATTTTATTTTGAGTTCTCAACTTAAAAATGGAGTTTATGCTAAGTAAAAAGGCCTCTGATTGAAGAGGAAAAGATTTGGCATAATACATAATAAAGTTTGTTGTCTGAACCTCATTTTGTCAGATGTTGACGTAACTTGAATATATTAATGCAAACTGTTGCGTAATTTTTTTTTTGTTTTGTCTAAACAATATTGTGTGTAGTGTAGTGTATAGTGGTTTTTGATTATTAAATTTTGGTGTCTGACTGCCATTAGACTCTAAAGAAAACTAGAAACCATTGTGTATTTCATTTGTAAATTTACTTTTGCTCTACTGTGTTATGTATTCTTGCAATTTCTTATATTGCAGATATGCTCCCCTACAAATTCATCGCTATCAATGTAAAATCAACGAGCTATTCAAGTCATCTGGTGAAACTGTATTCATATCGCAATATATTGCAGAAAAGCAATATATCACAATGTCAGTTTTTACAGTGTCATTTAGCCCTTTTAAATGTCTGAAATGTCAGATTTTTTTCAGATGAGCGTACTCTCTTTAAAAACAAAATTCTGTTACCTTTGACCTGACAAAATATTTGGAAGAACGTTTCAGCTGTTTTTCTTTCTTTCATGTTAGAAACCTCTTAGTAACCTATCACTTTCAAGCTCTGAAAGACATTTAAAGTTGTACGAAATGAATCCATATATTTTTCTCTATGATGTCATATACAGCCGCTGTTATTGTTTTAATCCCGCATGTTGAGCATCAGCAAATATTTACTGTGTTTTCAATCACAATTGTAGCACATGACAAAAATATGGAACAATAATGCAGTGTTGTGTGTCTCTGCCATCTGCAGGCTTTTGAAGTGATTCATGACACCATGCTCAGACACGGTTGCAGGTGGAGACTGAATGTGGCCAAGGTCTCGACGTGAGTGCTAAAATTGTGATTTGTATTGATTCCAGGTACCTCTCTGAAATGAATCAGCTGAGCTGCCTTTGTCTTTACATCTATGATACTTAGCTCTGCTGTATTTTTGCATTTATCACAATGCATGTAGCAAAACTTTTTTTTTTTTAATCAAGCATACAACAGCTTTCTAAATGACTAGCATAAACTCTTGCCATTAGTACAGTAGACATCTTGGATTTAATATGGGTGGCGCAGTAGGTAGTGCTGTCGCCTCACAGCAAGAAGGTCGCTGGTTCAGGCCTCTGCTCAGGTTGCGTTTCTGTGTGGAGTTTGCATGTTCTCCCTGCGTTCGCGTGGGCTTTCCCCGGGTGCTCCGGTTTCCCCCACAGTCCAAAGACATGAGGCACAGGTGAATTGCGTTGGCTAAATTGTTCGTAGTGTATGAGTGTGTGTGTGTGAATGTGTGTGTGTGGATGTTTCCCAGAGATGGGTTGCGGCTGGAAGGGCATCCGCTGCATAAAAATGTGCTGGATAAGTTTGTGGTTCATTCCGCTGTGGCGACCCCGGATTAATAAAGGAACAAAGCTGAAAAGAAAATGAATGAATGAATGAATGAGATGTCATCTCAAACAGAAGTTTTAAGAATCACTTAACTTTCTCATGCCATTTTTCTTGTCTAGTCTTGATTGAAGATTTTTCAGATATTTGGACTGGAAACAAGACAAAATGACTAAGAAAAGCTTTTTTGCAGTGCAGCTATACATGACAACAGATGGAAAAATGAATGATCCAAAAAAAGGCGAGTGAATAAAAAGTGTCTTTAGTCTTGCAATGCAAAGTAACTATACCACCACTGCTTTACTTCTGTTATTAACCCTTTCTCTGGTAAGTTTTATATATTCTTGAACCAGGAGTCAGTTTTGTTTGGCAATCATTATATTTAAGAACGCTCAACCTAAATGTTTCCGTGGCAACGCATCAGGTTTGACAACATGTCAGGTTTGTCACGTGATATACCGCAATTACTCCCAAAATACATGCAAGTAAGTGGCTGGTGAACATAGAAAACACTAGATTCAACTTTATAGTTATTTTCACTATGTGTATCTGATATGAATAAAGCACATCAGCAAATTATATTTGAATGGATTATTAGACTTCCAAAGACTTTCTTGTGTGTTTTACAAACTCTAAATATATTGTTTTACTTGTACTTGTGTGTATTTACATGTCTAAAACATAAAATAAGCATTAGGCTGTTAAAATGCTGCATAATTGTGATAATATGACACGTTTTTCTCTGGCTCAGCACCAAAGCTCGTTAGCTAGCGCTATTTTATCATGCTTGTCAAGCTAGAAAACGAGTAAAAACACCAGCACCAGGGACTTTACAGTCCTCACTTTAAAATAGAACAAAAGTGGTGATTTACCCTGCTGTTGAACTCTGTTCCTCCTCATACCTGTCTATAACCCCTTTCACACAGTGATACTGGTAAATATCCGGAAAATTTCCGGAAAGACTTTACCGGTATATTCAAAAAAGCGCTGTTCACACAGGCGAGGACGTTACGGAAATTTTCCGGAAAAGAGCATTCACACATCCATTCCAAAATACCGGTAAATTCTGACATCATTCACCACAAATGAGCTTTAAACGGCTGCGCTTGTATTTGTAAACATTTAACTAAATTACAAACTCTGTGGATGATCAATATTGTGAACAACTTTCGCAGGATCACTTTCGCATGTCGAGATGTTCATAATATGTGCGTGTGCAGGCGCTCACAGGCTGTTTCGCAGGCACACGCAAAGCTTGAAGGTAAACAAACAACGGCTTATCATAAGCATCTCATCGATGATTATTTACACAGTTGGCATTAAGAAGAACATATAAACGTGATCTGACTAACTTCTAGCAGCTAAATGTGTCTGGAAAAATATTCAAAGGCTTTTATCCTCACAAACCGCACGGACGTAAATGCGTCTGACTGTTGTGATTGGCTAAAGCAGACGTCTCACGTCAGCACGTTCTAGACGTGGACGCGCTTATTACGGGAATCTTCTTTCTGCATTCACACAGCGCAGCATTCCGGCAAATTGCCGGTAATGTTATAACTTCTCTTTCCGGAAAATAGCCAGAACGAATTTACCGGTATTTTCAAAAAGGACCTGTTCACACATACAACCTTTCCCGAAAATTGCCGGCAATTTTCCGGAAAGGTCTGTATGTGTGAAAGAGGCTATTGAGGTGGTGAACTCTGTATCAGTGCACGAGAGAGACGGTGTTCATTCTGCTCCACGCTGAGCTAAAGTGTTTTTTAAATATTCAATCGTCCTCGTGTCACACAAAACAACGAATCGATTATGTAATTCGTTGCCAGCACTTTTAGTAATCAATTTTTATCGATTTAATCGATTTGTTGTTGCAGCCCTACTTGTAAATTCAGAGAAATATTGATATGAAAAACAAACTCCTGAGGATACGTCGGGTATATCTTTAAAGGGGGCAGTGTACTTTATACTGTCATTCACATCACCATGGCTACATTCTTAACAATAAAATGAAAACATAAAAATAAAATGATGTAAGGTATTGCCTATTTTCATTTTAACATCAAAAATGTTAAGGCCTCATATAGTTACCTATTTATATGACCTTCATCTTTACTGTATGCATGTTTATAACAAAATGTAGCCTATTCACCTTATTCTTTGCGTACGAGCAGGCACAGCCATTTGATTATTTTTGGCTAGAGACTTCCGGTCTCATTCACTTCCTTTCATTTTTAGACATTTAAAACAGCTCGCTATGCTGCTTGATGTTGCATTATATTCATCTGCTTTGTCCGTATAGTCGTACTAACACTTGTCTGTAGAGCAAGTAGTTTGAGTCATTTCTCTCATAAGCAACTGAATCGGAAGTTATAAAACAATTTAAAAACAAGCCTACTTCCGCATTGAAGAATAAGGTCAATAACATAACTTCCTCTTTTCATTTTTATTGGAAAATATAAAACATACCCTCTCTTTTTAACCAGTTAAACTCTGCTGTTATTTTGGGATTTCCGCCTGGATTTTGCCAACCCAAGTTTAAAAGCTACTCAAATCCACATGCAGAGGTGTAAATGCAAAGATTTGGTATAATTTTAAAGAAAACCCTTTGAATTTTCATAAAAAACACTATTGAAAGTGTTTATAATAACTGTATATGTTGACTGTGTTATATTAAACACCTAAAAAAAGAGGCGCTTATATATTTTTTTTTATAAACTCAAATTTGAAAGTGTACCTTTTAGGTTCTGTGTGGTCTAGCATGCTCTCATTAAATTTGGTGGTTCCTGCACATGTCTGTAATCATAGGAAAAAAGAAAAATGTCTCTACCAAAATCTATGCAAAAGTTATTGTATTCCAACTGATGAGAGGTGCTATACAAGCCACAGGTTTTGATCATTATTTTCATATATCACTATTCTTTTGTTTGATCAAACATAATTCACTGTGTTTGGAACACGTCAGACATATAAAGTATTACTTATGCACATTACATTAAAAAACCAAAGTGATTCCTATGTGCATAAAATATAGATTCTAAACTTTCAAACGAAACCACTTAAGGGGGTCTGGTGCAATGCTAGCCCTTGAAATCTTAAAGCGGAAGTCGATGACGTCACAGACCCTGTACCGGGTCTGCGGAGTTGAACTGGTTAACTGAGTATCCGTTTTAATAATCAGTAATGGCCATTATAAAAGTATAATGTACAATAAGTTTGTACAATACAGGAAGTGAAGTCAAGCAATTAGTCAAATATGCAGAATCAGTGTACGTGGTTACATTAATTAATTTATTAACTTGTCTTTGGAAAGGAGGAAAGTTTTTGTTAAAAGTTTGGAAAAGCCTGAGGGATAAGTTTGTTAAGCCAAAAGAGGTCATGGCAAATGTGGAGACCCTGGTACAGAATTACAGAAACATGTTTTTCCACCAGCCATAGGTTTTACAAGGGCGTATACACTAAAAAAAGTGTTGCATGCAAAACTGTTGCAAACAATTTATTTGTGTTAAATTTTAACAAACAAATTAAGTTTAATAATGTTCAACTTAATTTGTTTTTTTAAATTCAACACAAAGAAATTGTTTACAACCACTTAACGTAAAATTTTTTTGTAAATCCAAGGAATCATATATTAATTTTTTTTTCAGTGTATGTTACAATTTTGAATTTGAAACAATTGAATAGTTGCAAAACTAAAATTAAGGAACAAATTATTTGTTTGATAACTGGAAAGTAATATTTGAAGCTATCGGTTTACAATATACTAATGCTCTGTTTTTCTAGGCTTTATTGTTGATAATGGTCAGGAATGTTGGACAATTATTGTCTTTTTATCATAAGAAGAGGACAGAAACTAGCCAGACAGTAATGTGTGAATTTTGGAGCAGGTTAAATTTATAAAAAAAACATCTGTATTTTCTAGTAAGTGGACTTTTTTTTGCTTTTAATCTTGCCATAATACAGAATATATTTATAGAGCAACCCATGTTCTCTTATTATCAATATTTTAATAAACTTTCATAGGTAAAACTTTACGAGATATGAACAGAAGCAAGTGATGTATTAAAGTTTGAACTTTAAATGAAAAATCTTGACTGATCTTAAAAATAATTCATAAAAAATAATTTGTATAAAAATCTTGAATGATATTAATGATATGAAGTAGTTCCGGAAACTTTTTACTTCTCTGTTTTTCCGTCTGACTTCACGGTCAGTTTCTTTTTTTTTACCACCCCCTGTAGTTTTAAAGAATATCAAAAAACACAGCAAGTATAAAAGCTTCGTCCATTTTGTGAGGTCTCGCGTAGTCCGCATAGGTACACGATGCAGCGCTAGTCAAAAGTATAAATCCATCTTAAAGGCTACAAAGCTGAGCAAGGAAAAATATCTCACCCTCTTTTCAGAGTTCTTTCTAAATCCAGCGTACATGATGGACACTGATTTTACTGTTCAAATGTTTGTGGCTA